AGCGCATATTATATTTTACATATTTAATTTAAGGCGATTTATGGCGCAAAACACATTTGTTTATGTTGTTGTTAATCGAGACAGGCGAACAATTGGAAAGTTAGAAAAAAAAATAAATGTTGTAAAAATTGGTTAGTGTGCGCAAAAACTTAATTTGGGAACAACTTTACAGTTATTCAACCAAATCGATTGAGCCAAAAAAAACTTCAAAAACACTTTCGCTCTTTCCCTTTTAAATTCGGTGTACTCACCTATTTCCTCACGTCGCTCCAAAGCGGCGAATATGCCATTCGCTGCAGCCTCCTGTTGCTCCTTGAGAAAGCTCTTATGCCGCTCGGCACGTTCGCGCCTCCTACGCAAGCCGGGTGTGACGCCGACGCCATCGCGCGCTGCATGATTTACAAAAAAAAAACACGTAAACTTATATTAGCATTTATTATTCGTTGGAAAGAAAATGTCTTCTACACACCTTTCTCGCCATTGAAAACGCCATTTGCGTACTCAGCTGAATTCGTCGAACTGGAGCTGTCCTCGTCCAGCACGCCGTGTGTTGGCGTGATTCTCTTTGGTGACGGTATCACTTTGTTGACATGCGGACTGGTGCCAGTGCTGTGACGTCGCGACTTGCGTCGTTCCGCTGTGTCTGTGCTCTGGCGATGGCGTTGCGTTTTGCGCAGCGAGTTCTCCGGCAAGCGTATGCCCTCCGCTTCGCCATCTTCGAATCTATAAATGAAAAGCAAAATTTAGACAACAGGCTTAGGAGTGGCGATAGGTTACTCACTTCAATACTGCTTCGTAGAGCTGCAGTTGATCTAGTAGATCGAGATCGGTACCAGGCTTGGATATATAGCGCTGTATCACCGATTCCATGCCTTGCTGCTCCAGCAGATCACTCTCATCGTAGAAGCTGTCCTGATCGTTTAGACCAGCCAAGGTTTTGTTAATCAACGATGTGGCATAGATGACTAGCTCGGCATCAGCGTTGTCGTAGTCTTTTAGAAGTCTGTTGTACGGTGCGAAAAAAATTGTTAAAATTCAAAATAGGTAAAATAAAAAAATTAAAAACCAAGAGAGTTGAATAAACCCTGCAGGAAAAAAATTATCAACTGATAAAAAATAACCAACTGGTAGTTAGGATTTTTGCGGGATTTCTATAAAATATATAACTCCTAGTTAGCTACAAAAAGCTAACTTGAAACTAGTTGACAAATGATGCAGGAGTAATGCAGACATAATGGGGAGATTGTTTTCTTTAAACTAGTTTCTATTTAAATATCCTCATACAAATTTTATTTTGAATACAATTTCTTCCTGCCCTGCATAAATATTTTTTCGAATTGGAGACAAATAAAAGGAGGACCGAAATTGTATATTATCATTTTGAAGTTATGTCTGACGGAGTTTGGATATGGGACCACCTACAGCAGTATATGTAAACAAATATGAAATTTAATAAAATGAAGTAAATAAGTAAATCATTAAAAAAAAAAAAAAAAAAAAAAATATTTTTCTTTTTTATTGATATTTTATGCCCAAAAGTAGTTAGGTACAAGTTAGTTGACATCTAATGCAGAGGTAACCACCCTTGACTATTTCACGGCCATCCCCAATGAACTATAGATAGCTTGCCTCAAAGAAAATATACAAATAATAGTGACATTTAGTTCTTTCCTAATCAACTTCAAGTTAACTTATAGTTAGATACATTTCCCGCAGGGAAGTTCGGCAGATACACAAATACACACACACACATTCAAGACATTTACCACTCACACGTAAACGAGAGGCCGAGTATAGTTGAGTATAGCCTAAAAGTATGCTGCTTTCGAATATTTGGTTGCAAACGCTGATAGTGTGGTGAGCTATTTGCACCACAAACATTTTAAGGAGAAATATGTTGAATTAAAAAGGCGCATTCAAGATGAGAGGGTACGTGAAATTTACGATCAGCGAATGTATGATCGGAAATGCAATACATATTTGAAGCACATACATACATACATTTTTTGTTGGTGCTTATCCGCTTGCTATTCGAATAAAAACGGTATTCGCGCAAACTCGAATATGCATACTTAAGTATCTAAATACATAAAAAATATGAAATCTCTGTGAGTTTGCTTATTACATAGACGCATAAGCCGCATTCATTCATACATACATGTGTACATATAAGAACGTACCCCAGTGGTAAAGTAGTAAGGCATTACATGCGTGATAAATATTTAATGTAAAATCCGCTGTTTTACTGATTATTTTTCCGACTACCATACAACACATTTTCCCACTGGGACCTTACACAAAGGTATTAAAATTTATCTGGCCTTTCAAAATATTTTTTCCGAAAAAAAATTTGTGTTTAAAGAGCAGATAAGTTTTAAAACCTACTTGAGAAAACAAACCTAAGACTCTTTATTTTGGCGGGCAATTTTTTTCAGGAGGAGAATTTCCTTTAACTCGTAAAGTCTTAAAGTGTTTAAAATTCGTAATTTTACGAGGCTGCTGCAGGAACGCCCCAATTTCCAAATGTGTAAATCGGTGCGTAAAATTACTGTTTGGCAGGTTAGCCAGGGTTTTGTGAACACCTTTTTGTTTCGTAGTACTTTTCATAACACCCTGTCAGCTCGAATGAAAGTTAAAAATATAATTAAAAATGCCCAAATTGGCACAAAACCCAAGTTAATACAAATTCAAAGTTCACGAAAAATCATTGAATGGGCGTGAAGTGACATGTTAAAACTTTTCCTAAAAATGGTATGTCCTGCGGAATGGTGGTGCGCAGCATAATAAAATATAAATGAGTAGTAAAAAGCGAAAATGTAACGCATTGGATCGCTCCTCAAAACAGTCCGGTCTTTAGTTCGGAAAAAGTAAACTTTTGAGCTCTCCCGCAATTTAGAGAAACGGTAAATGCCAAAAAATGGAGAAAACGCAGTTAAAAGATTCCGCCTTTCAAAATTTTTGCTCGAGGCACAGCTATTTTAGAAAGCTCAGTAATTTTGGAAAAATGCGGAACTGGACTTTCTTACTTTATGTGTTTTTTTTTTAATTCTTTTTTAATATCTTAGAAATGGACCTTTAAAGCAGAATCGCATGTAACACGGAATATGATCCAATTCTTGTAAAAAGTTATCGAAATGACAAAAAGGGCCGAAAATTATTTAAAAACATATAACGGGGTCGGGTCGGATATAAAATTGAAATTAGGAAATTTTGAAAAGAAAGTTTTGGTTGAGCTGTTGAGTTTTTAACTTTAATACATATGTATACATATATGTATGTGTGTACATATGTAAGTATGATTATATTGAATACGCTTACCTCATTAGATTCGACCATGGCAGTGTGCCCTGTGACTTATCCACCGAGTGAATGGCATTCACCAGGACATAGCAATTTGTTTCGGCATATTCGACAAACACCAACAACAACTTGAGTGCCGTTTTCACCACAGAACGATAATTCGAAGCGATCAACGAGTACAGCCATTGCATTGTGGGCTCATGTTTCATCACGCCATTCATGCCGTCCACATAAAGCATCACCTGTTATTGGCACAATAACCACAAATGAATGTAAATATATATGTATACATATGTCTGTGTATAATGGTTTATTATGGGGGGAAAACAAAAACAAAAAATAATAAACGCATAAATGTGGTTAATTGACATTGCCAAGCAAATAAAATGCAATCTATTAAATGCTGAGCAATCTATAAGTAGTTAAACGCTTCAAAGTAAACGCTTTACGCCAAATTGAAAAGTAAACGAATAGTTGTCTTTCGATACATTTTTTGTATTTATCTGTATGTACACATACATATATGTATTTAGGAATGTCTACACACCTGACCCAAGGCACGCAGAATGTAATTTTGATAATTCTGATCGGCTCCATTACCGACACGCACAAGACAATTGAGTCCGCCCAATGCCACAAAGGCATGCACCAAGTCTTTATCCTCCTGGAAGACTTGCTTCAATGAGAAGAGTGCACGTCGCAATTCGCTGCCCTCGGAGGAGAGGAGTTTCTCTGTGAAAGAAAGGAGGGAAAAATAAAAATGGCATATGCATTAAATTAATTTAAAAAGTTTTTTTTTTTTAGCGGCATAGCGTACTAAAATTTTAGATTTTTTTGGCGAACAAATAAAGCATAGACCAAATAGATATTTCGATGTCCAATTTAAGAGTTCTGGTTATTTATGGAGATAGTAAGTTCTGGCGATCACCTCTTTGCAAAGTGTTTGGCTGAGACACTTTCCAAAAAAAATAAATAAAAATTGGAAGAAAAATGCATTTGTGCATTATATGAGTTCGGGAAAAGCAATCGATCTTTGGCATAAGTGGCCTTGAAGAAATTGTAGCATTCCAGAAACGTCGGAAAATGGTTCTTAACAGCGCCAAGCCATTTCATTGCCAAAAGTCTAAGATCATTCATCACAATGGAAATGGAGTTTCTAACACACTCGCTTAAATATCTCTTTAAGTCTTAGACAGCGAAGACATCGATCTGGTGAGCCATTCACCTTACAGACTTGATTTGCCTCCCACTATATCATTTTTACTCCCATAAATCAAGAAAAAAGGTAATAAAAATTGCGCGATCACGCTTTGGAGCTACCTCAACGAAAGCAAAAGTGTAGATGATACCAAATTTGAATTTTTCATTAGGTGCAAAGTTTATACATACATATCGTTATCTTAATTCACAAAGACCCTAATGAAAAAATGTTTTTATTTTACAGGAGAGGCAAAACACATTTTAAATAGAGTATCAAAAACAGGTACGACTTTTTAAAAAGTAGCATGCAACTCCGTTTTTTTTTTTTGGTACTCAAACTTTAAAATTGGTTGGTGTTGGTTACGGCCTTTGTGAATTAAGGTAACGATATGTATGTACACTAGGGAGGGTAAATTTTTTTGACTATGCTCGTATAGAATAGAAGGATTCTACGTGTATTTCTAAGCAAATTTTCCAAAGAAACCATCGGTCTAAAATCAATTTGAAGTTCGCCAAATTGCGGAAATAGGTTTCGAAGAAGATGGGAAAATTTTCACTGTTGTGCCCTCTGTATGAAGTTTTAAGAAAAAGATAAGTGCATATATTTTATACAAAATTTAAGCCGTTCTTTACGACACTACAGCAAAAAGCTAAGAAAGCCATTTTCCCAATTTGGCAAACTCCAAATGGATTTTAGACCCATGGTTTAGACGGAAGATTTGCTTATAATTATTGATTATATAATTATTGCTTATAATTATACGCGCATAGCCGAAAAAATCATAATAACAATATACACCCTGTGTCAACATTATATGTGTACCTCAAGTTCACAAGTTATAACAATTTATCTTGTGTTTTTTTTTTTAAGTAAATTCAGTTGTTTTTAATAAAAATATAGCTTAATCTTCAACTAAATTCGTATAAGCCCAAATTTCAAACTTTGCGCAATATTTAAAACAATTTAACAACCTTTCTTTAAAATTCCAAGCTTTTAAATTAGAATTACTCAGAAAGATTTTGAATATGCGATTTTGTAGACCATTCAATTTAAGTACAATAAAGTGCAAGTTTGAAGTAGCTGGGACATAACGTTGTTTTGGCAATTTTTTTCCTGTCAGTGTTGTACATTTTTTTCCATACAAAGTACATACATATATATAAAAATATAAATAAACTTGGCAAAAACCAACGGTAAGTCCTACCTACTTTTAACTTGCGTATTCAAAATCTTTCTAAGAAATCTAATTAAAAAACTACAAATTTTTACGAAAACTTTTTTAATTTTTAAAATAATGCGCAGAGTTTCAAATTTAGGCCTATACGGTTTCATTTGAAAATTAAACTTTATTCTTAGTCGACATCAAAAAAGTCGGAGGTTATCAATTCGACGAAATATGTTTTTTAATATATTACCGCATAACTCTGGACCACGTCAATCGATTTCGATAATTCTTTCTCTATTGGAAAGGCAAATAAATTAAAGGTACTCCTAAATTTTTATATGAGAATTCAAGTCGGTTATTTTTTTTTTGCTTAAAACTTACGTGTTATAAGAAATGCCCGAAGGAAAGAAACAAAAAAAGAAATCGTTACAACTTAAGGTGCGCTCATAATTTTGTCACAGGGTGTAAATGTATGTACAAACTGTGCACGTACTGAAAAATACACATTTTGTATCATCTATACTAACTAAAATAAAATAAAAATCAATAAATGGTTAAAATTTGTCTATTTGTAATGCGCTTTTAATTTGGCACGGGGAGTATATATATAAGGCCAATCGAAACATGCAAATATGCAGAAAGTGAAGGCACACTACACGCCGTTTGGGAATGGACCATTCTTTTTCCTAGAGACATGATCACGAGGTATTAATTCAAACTAACCAGTCTGAGATGTTTATGAACTGAGTGCTCTCTTTCGCTCTTACGCGCTGTATCTTTGAGGCTGCCAAGGGCTTTAGGATAACTTCCGTAAATCTGACTTCTTGAATGTACCCTTTCCTCGTCGCTCTCTCCCCTACAAGCTTCGAGTTGCCGCAACAAAAGTTTCCGTGTCTGAACATCGACTTATGATGAAAAGGTGAAACTAGTCTTTGAACCACCCTACTTTCAACAGAAATTCTGAGCAAATTTTCAACAGATGCTAGTGTGAAATTTATTGTTAACAGACAATTTCTTTACTGTTATTCAATAAATAAATAATACTTCTTAGCTCATCAAATTCTTTGCGCTTATTTTATTTTCCATTCAATTTTCATTCCAGTTGGCCGGAAATTCACTCGGTGGCCCGTTGTTAAGCGCAGCACGCCGCTCTTTTAATAAGATTACGGTATTTTCAAAAGAACAAACCGTACTCATAGGCATTACGGATATACATAGACGTAATCTATTTATAACTAGTATATCTCGATCCATACATGCATACATACATATGCAGATACATATATAAGTATCTGCATATGTTTGCTTCTATTTATGACCGAAACAAATCAAGGCCAAATAAAAGTGTCATGTTGACAGATTAACATTGTTTGTATGGCAAGAAGGTGGCCGAGATGATTATTGCCGATCAAAGCCAAAACAAATGCTAGCCCACCAACAAACATATTCATGTATGTATGTATGTATGTCCATATATACATATCTGTCTGACTGCGTGTTTGTTGTCAATTACTATGACTAAATTGTCGGCCGAATGAATTGATTTGTGAATGTGATGCCTTGACTGCCGCCTGAGTGGTGGTTGTTGTCGGCGGCCATGGCTGATGGCTGCCAGCTCACCGGCAGTTAATAGCTGGAAATGTTTATTGTTTTGCATTAAACAACACAACAACAAATAAACAGTTGGAAGTATTTAATGAATGAGTGTGGGAATTTCTGCAGACGACCGCCGCTATTTCGCTGAATTGTTTTTTGTGTTGTTTTTGTGGTTGCGTTTTTTTTTTACAATTTTCTGTGACTTAAATATACTATTTACTAGGCATACCTACACAACAATTCCAGGTAGTTTTACTTACCAATAATGGCATGTACCCGCACACTCAGCTGTGTTCGCACTACCAATGAGTTTTTGCGACTGTAAATAAATAGAGAAAAGAGGAAGAGTTAAGAAAAAAAAACGATGATAGTGTTAATTAAAAATGTAAGCAAATTACTCAAAAGAAAATAAAATTTAAAAAATAGAGGTAGGTAAGAAACTTTGTTAGAGGCGTCAATTGCCGTAAAATTCACCAATACAACTACAATAAGAGTTCATTACAAATTTACAGGTGTGTCCGTTTCTGGTCCAACCACAAAATAAATCTGCCCAGAGCTGTACGGTTATAAATCAACCAGTATAATAGTTAATTGGCAATTGCTCAGCGACTCGTTTCGTCTCACCGTTCCCCCCTACACTTCGATTGATTTTGGTTCAATGACCATTTAAGAACATCGATTGCTGAATAATAATTCTACTTGGTGCCGCATACACCGCTATTTATATACATACATACATACAAACATATAAGCTATGGAAAGGCGATATAAGAGAATTCAAGAAAGAAGTTAATAATACCCAGAGGAATATGAAATCAGTTAAGTAAACACACGTACCATGGCTTGCTAAGTTTTTGATTTTTTTTTGTTTGCATATACTATAGATGCAAATGCATATAAAAACCATATTTTTTAGACCATTTGGAACACATTTAGTCTATGGTCTGTGGCCAAGGTTCTCCTCCAATTTGTGGTGTGAGTCTTGATGTTGTTACGCAAATCTCCATTCTCGTAGAGTTTAATGTCGCCTCCGAACGGCAAATGGAAAGCTTTTTCAAGGCAGAAATAGGCTCGAAGGTTAGCCATTGCCTGCAGAGGGGCGACCTCTGTGGGTAGAAAAAACATTTCTGTAATTTGTTGCGATGTTGCTTTGACCAGGGATCGAATGTGGCTTCTATTAAATAGTAGTACGCACCTTTAATGACTCCGCTGCAGGTGGTGAAACAAATATTTGGGCTCTACAAATTTTGCTTAATGGTTGGCCGATCTTCTCGAAGAGAACCTAAAGAAAGGCCTGGCAGCATAGTAAGCCTATAAAAAATGCATTCGGGCTTGTTAGCGCACGTAATTCGCAGTATGTGCACAACATCCGACCAAACATTAAATCTTAGGTGAACTTAATGGAGGGGATACAACGGGGTGCATTACACTATTCGGTGGTTTATACCAACGGAAAATTTTGGTAAGTTTTTCCCTAAACACTGACGGCTCAAAAGAGGTAAGAGATGTTTGCACGGGTGTCTATGTATTCGGAGGATCTGCATATCAGGAAATTCTATCTATTGCCGGAAGCCTACCGTGTATTTCAAGCGAAGATCTTTGCCATAGAAAAGGCTGCCTATCTAGTCTCTACTAGAGAAGCGCACTCTATTCGTTGACGTTAGACTCCAAACTAGTGAAGTCATGAATTTTCCGCGAATGTCGCTCATTTTTAGTATCACTGAGTCAGGTCAAAATTACTATTTGTTAGTCATCTTGGACAAAGTAATATTTGAAAGAAAGAAATAGTCGATTTGGATAAGTAAGTCAGCTAACTGCGATGACTATGAAATCTTAAGGTTTAGATCGGCGTTCGGCAGTCCATAGATCGCTAAGCGTTCTCTGAGCACATGTGTATTTCACACGCATACGAAGAGCGCCAGCTGAGCAGTGCATTTAACGCACACAGTCTCACATATTGAATCGTTTGAATGTGTTAGAATGCCGACCACTGGTTTGGATGGCCTAAGCTTAACAAATAAGGAACTGAACAACCTTTGGAGTTAAACATAAATAATTCTTGCCGGCGTCATCACAGCATATTGGAGAAACAATTTCTCTGCATATCTCTCTCTCCCTTTATCCCTTTTTACACAGTTTATAACTTACATCTTTTAAGCTTAAAGATGAGGAGAAATTAATTAACCAAATCTTATGTCAAGATAGTGGTGTTACATAAACTATTCGGCTTTGGAATAACCTCGGTTGGAGGGACGTGCCTCTTCTTGGCTTTCATAGAGACCGACTAGAAGCACGAAGACACGGTTTCCTAACCTACCCTAACCATTTATGAATCAGATCTATTGATTAGCAAGACATGGGGTTTATATGAAAGAAGTTATCCCAAAGTAACATTGACTTTATAATCGAGCCCTAACCGCCAAAAGGTAAGAGAAATTGTTTATAACATTTTATTTTTGATGCAGAAATGCATCCAGATGCTCCAGGAACATTTCATAGGTTAGGGCTCGATATGTAAATTCGCCTTTTTGTTTAATAAACATTAAAAATATGTTGTCATATTTCCAAATTAACTAAACCAAAGAGTTTATGAAAGCATCAGAGTTGCAATTACTCGCACTAAATGTTGCATGCAACTCAATGCAAAACTATTCACTACTCGTTCAAAACGCTCCTTACGTGTCTCTATTTGTGGCTCGTCTCGTTGTGCGGAATGCATTTTCCAATTTGCATGGCGGCAACGTCTACAGAAATGTTGTCCCTGTGGTATGTGATAATGGCGTAGCAGCGTTTGCACCAACTACAATGTGCAACGCGGCTAATCGCAAGTCGCGTTCCACTCCAACTGGTGCCCACCATCATTACCGGACAAGCCTTTGGTATGAATGTAGTTATGTGGCACTAAGCTGGTTTGTTTTAGCCCTTTCCTGTACCAGCTCATAGCACTTTGCATGCCACCGACTTGTTACTATTTATGCATCTCTGCGATTTCATTTCAGACTCAATTCTCGCAAAATACTCGGCATTTTTCGCCTTTAGCTTTTAGCGGCAATTAGCTCAAATTAGTTGCATTTTTGCAATGTTGTCATATTGGGTATTATTTAACACAGCAATAACTAGTTACGCGGAAAATAGAAGAACTAAAGATTTCATTAGAAAACACTAAATAAGCTAAAGAATTTCACTGCAAAGCGCACTCCCGCCGCTCAAGCTCTAAATCTTCCGTTACTCTCGCAAAACTCGAAAGGAAGTGAAAAGTGTGCCATCGATAATATATTCCGAACGTAAACACTTTCATCAACTAATTATTATTCTGCAGTCACTCGAGGCAGTTATTAAAAAACGATCGCTTTTCTCAGCCACTTATTACCAGCATCGCTGCCTCCTTCTTGCCACTTTTTTGTTCGCAATAAATAATCAAGTGAAAGGCCAAGAAAATGGCGAACTTCGAATGTCCACATGCAACATGCGGCCGCATCAGCATCGTCTGCAGTTAGCCGCTTCAATGTAGAGAGCACCCACACATGAATGTGTATCTATGTAAACACTCTACAAGTTTCGAAAAAAAGCGAAGAGAAGAAAAAAGTGTTTAATGTGCCCCAGAAACCCAGTGAAACCCAACAACGCAACAGCCTCGCTGGCTGCTCATCGTCAATTGTCAACTTGAAACCGCAGCCACCAACGCCATGAGACCCACTCGACGGTATCGAGTGGCGGGAACACACACAGGTAGCCAGCCAATCGGACGGACCTCGCCTCCGCTGTGCCCGGTCTGCGCTTACAGCAGCCCACGAAAGCTTTGTTGTAAAGCTGCACAGCTGCACAGCTGCTCCTCTTGCTGCTGTTGCTGTTGTTGTTGCTGTTGATATGCAATGTTGCAAAACCCGAAACGGGCGCTTCCTGCTTCAGCCTACCACCGAAGTTTCAGCACCCAACTCCAACTTCCCACTGCATGTGTGCGCATTTTTTATGTTTGGCCGTCCAACTGGCAGCGAGCAGCGAGCAGCCACAGCCAGCGCAGCATAATGGGTTCAAGGTAAATTGTATTCGCCACTGTGTCCGTCTTGCCCCTGACAGTCGCTGTAAGTAACTCTTTTCGGTTGTCCGTCCGTTCGTCCGTCCATAAAGTTTGTCTGCTTTCAAAAGCCAAGAGAACGGAAAGTGAAATTTAGCCATTCAAAGCGGCGTACTGGCTAAGTGGCTTGCGGCAGCGATGGCGTGCACATTGAAACGTGTATGTGCATGTGTGTGTGTAGATCTTTTATCGCCAACTTTCGACAGTTCTGGCAAATTTCTTCGCCGTTCCTTAAACCATAAAATCAAAATAAAAATCGAATAGAAGCAGGCGAGACAAGCAAATGCGTCCAGAGAAGAGGCGGCAGTGAAGTCAGAGGAGCGTAGAGTTTATGCATAAACGAAAAACGAGAACAAAAAACCAACAGTCAATGCAATAAATACGAGTACGCAAGCGTTGGTTGGCATTGACTTTCATCAAAACAAAGAAACTAAAATAAAAAAATTAAAACAAAAAAACCAAAAAAAAATTTCCAGCGCCATAACTGCACACATTCACCAAATAATACCTGCGGGCTATGAACAATAAATCTATTTTTGTTGCACACTTTCTAACTTTACCGGCCAGACGCATTGGCTGTTTCATAGAAAATGCTGCGTTAATCATGAAAATAATCAAAGCTGATTGCGTTTAGCACTCGTCGCAAAGTGGGCATGGTCATCCATCCACTCACTCAGCTGTACACAAAGTGCATTGAATCATTGCTATTTGCGGCTGCACAAGCCATTCGTTCTCCATTCTACGCTTGCTTATCTATCTAATGCCTTTTAGCTTTCACATCGCAAACCATAACTTTTATTTACACATTTTAGGTATACGAAATGTAATCTTACTCGTTATGTGTGTATGTTTGTAGATTCACGGGTATTTGAATGAGAAAATTCGCAATATTCCTTAACTTGATCTTTTTGCGCAGTTTGGTAAACAAATTCTTATCAGTAGATAAACAAGCTAGCCCACAATCTAAATTCCTTCTATTCTATGTTTGTATGTAGTTACTTTTGATCATCGTTCGTGCATTCGTACAGTCATGAATGTGCGAGTATTCGTTTACGAAAACCACAAAGCATTTGTTGATTGATTGTGGTGACGATGACGGTTGCAGTGACTGTGCTGGCAGTGATGGTGGCCATACATGATTCAATAATACAAGGTTAGATAATTATTGACAGTTGCGGTTTGACACTCCCTTACAAAAGGTTGCATTTACGGAGGACAGAGAAAGGGCAAGAATGCAATCCCTTGTTTCGAAAATGGTAGTAGAAAAGTACGAAAAGTAGGCAATTAGTAGTGAAATTCCTTTCGTAAATTCTAATGTATTTGCAGGAAATCTGGCATTTTAAACGAAATGTTGAACGTAATATTGATATATCTACGTGAATTATGTAATTTATATGCTATTTAGCCGTATAAAAACTGCAAAATGACTCAAAATTTAAATAAGACTACTATGAGACTGATGTAAACATCCAATGCATATGTTTTCATCAGTTAAATATGCTTCATATGCATATACAAATAAAGATATTGCACAAAAGCTTATACTTTTATTTCACACCAAAGCTACACTGTTTCCATGTAAAATTGCAAAGAAGCAACACGGTGCCACTGCTAAGGGAGCGGTGCGAGAGAGACAACTGTCAGTTTATCGAACCTTGTATTATTGAATCATGGTGGCCATACTGTCTAACGCCATTCATTTGATACTCAAATGTGAAGTGGCCTTCGTATTCTTAGAATTCATATCAATATATGCATGTATGTATGTATGTTTGAGTATATTTGAGTAACATTGCAAGCAAGCTGTCAAATGCAGATTCCAGGAAAAACTATATGTACGAGTACATACAATAACTAACAAAATAATTTTCTTCTTCCTATTTGGCGTTGTAACCGCCGGAGCGATTTTGGCCGAGTTCAACAAAGCCAACTGACGCTAAGTGGAAAAGCCAAGTGAGCCAAGTCCTTCTCCACTTGGCCTTTCCAATGCAGTGGGGGCCTTCCTCTTCCTGTGCTACCACCAGCGGGCTCCGAGTTGAATACTTTCAGAGTAGCGTCGAATAGCGAATGCATTGGCTGCCTGTTGTGACTGCAGCTTTTCGACGTTAAGCTTTACTTGAATTTTTGGGCGCACATTTTTTTGTGCACAGAGGCTGGTATATAGTGGTCCGAGTAAATGTTTGGGCCTCGGAGTGTACGTACGTCTAAAACACTGGAAGCAATCCTTCCGTCTGTCACAACATGATCGATTTGATTTCTCGTTTTTTGATCCGGAGGCAGTGATGGATCTTTTTATGCTTAAACCTAGTACCGCATACTACCATGTTTCGGACCCCGGCAAAGTCGATTAGCCTCAGTCCGTTATCGGACGTTTCGTCGTAGAGGCTGAATTTTCCGACGGTGGTTCCAAAGATCCCTTTCCTTGACCACCCTGGCATTCAAGTCGCTCGTATGTGGGCTCCAAGTGCTCACAGAAAAGATCATTGCACGCATCATCCTTCTCTTCCGTTGGGGCATGGACGCAGATTAGCAAGATGTTTAAGAGTTTCGCTTTGATGCAGATTGTGGCTACAGTCTCTCTCCCACCACAAGCGCTCCTTTACATGGCAGCTGTAGTAGACGTTGCAAGGTCTCGGACATTTTTTGCCACTGACATTATTGCACGCCATCTCAAATGTGTATGCTCCTTCTGGTCGGCTCTCACAGGAGTTAGTGACCAAGCACCAACTCTCGGTGCTGGCAACACAGTGCATGAATCACGTACGGCGTCAATTGTCTGGACGATGTCATGTGGATATTATCTTGCTTCATGAAAACCGAAAATTGTTTCATCGTTTGTGCGAAATCGTCAACTCGGTTCCAAATTGGTTCGCGTAAGAGTAGGAGGAACATGTAACAGCAAGAAAAATCCCTGAATCTGTGTTTTGACGACATCGTTTTGTCAGTATCGTTGGAACGACTATCATTTCAAAGTTACGTGGTTCAGTCCCAGGTCACTGTCCAATAGAAACTCAATGCGCTACAACTTCACAATGCCTTCGATTGTTACAGTCGTAGTTGTTCCGAGGACGACGCGGGTGAACCTTAGCTAGGCTTTGGGAACTTAAATTACTCGCGTTGTTTCGGGTTTTCTTGCTGACGGTTAGTTCTATCTTAGCCGAAATCTATTTAAAGGGTGCTTGACGTACTTAAAAGACAAATTCCGTTTCAAAGAGAAGAATGTCGAAACAACTTTAGCAAAGTGAGTATTGCAGCATTTACTCGAAGAGATGCTCACATTTAACTATGTACATACATATGTATGTATTTGGAGATTTCAGTACATAACAGATATTTCACTTTTTTTTTTTTAATAAGCTATGATTTGATGCAAAAGTTACAAATGAAATTTACGCAAGGTGAGCATCTGCAGCATTTGCGTTAGCAAATGACTTCATAGATACTCCTGAAGTTACACCGCACATTGCGCTTTGCATTTAACTTAGCAAATTGAAAGGTGTTTACACCACATGTTTGTGAGTAATCACGCCAACAACAACTAGTTTTGGCATTGTTTTCACAAAACTAAAAAAAAAAAAAAAAAAAAATAGACAGACATTTGAAAGTGTGGGTGAGTAATGACTGCTCTTAATTAAATAATTCTAATAAAGCACTTTATTCATTGCTTCTACAGAGAGAGTTTTTTGTCGTTGATTGTTGTTGTTAACCACAAATGACTTAATCTCAAAGAAAAGTTGTAGGTGTGAAACTTACAAAGCTCAAATAACACAACACCTTCTACTCGAATGCCAACATGAATGCTCATTTGTGAGGAAATTTTTACAAGCAATTGCAATAATATTTACATAAAAATATTAAATAATTCATAACAATGCGCATTGGGTGCTCAAGTTTCACCAATGTTGCTCAAGTGCGCAACTGGCATACTTCGCTCTGCATAAGCAACTTTTGTCCACTTAAATTAAATTTAAACTACTCGCTAGCGAACTCACCTAGAATTAAGACCTTCAATTTCTTCCGCTTGTTCAGCAAGCGAGGACTCCAAATCCAAATAGGCGCCATAGTCACCATCTTTGTACACCTGTATGGCTGCGTCGTCGATCTGCAATGAAGAGTGGAAAAGAGAGAGAGAGAGAGAGAGAGAGAAGAAAATTGATCGATTAGTACCAGGAATGCTGTTAATGGAGCGAAGAGATAAGAAAATCTATGTACTAATGCACTCGCAAGCAGATGAAGTGCCAGCAGCGTAAAGAAGAAAATGCTTATAAATAATAAAAATAAAATAAATCAACTGCCATTCCCCCCAACGCGTTGATGCGTTAATTACGACTACGATTCGACGACGAAAGTAAGTTATAGACTGGTTTTTGCCTAAGAAGATTGCTGGTTATTCTGCGCATATTTGTTGCAGACAGACATCCTTTAGAAGACGATCATTGGACAACCGGTGGTCTGTGGCTGGTGGCTGGGCAGGCCGCTGGCAATGCCATTCACATTCGTATTCGCATTCTCATTAAGTAAAAGTGGCGCAAGTGCCAGTGGCCGAGAGTCTGTCGTAAGTTGGTGGCACAGCTGGTCGCAAGCGACCATACATTTCATCGCCACTTTGTGCATACATATCTAAATACATGCGCGTCCATCGTCCATACATCGATTGGTGGCTGATTAGCTAGTCAGTCCATTGTGTTTTATGGAATGTTTGCAGCGTCATGCTGGCGTGGACTGGCGCACGATTGATGTAATGTTGACTGGCCGCTGCTGATGCGATGGTTGTGCACGCATTTTGAAAATCATGTCTGCTGCTGCTGCTGCGGCGGTTGCATGCCACAGCCACTTTTATGATGCAGCTGCTGGCTTTGCTGCTGCCCCAATCACTAGATTCGCATTGAAAGCTTTGCTTCATCGATGCTACAGATGGCTGGCAGCAGCTCACTCACGGCTTGTCGATTGTTGATGAAGCTTAATGATGGTGATGGGTCACCTACTTTTCTCTTCTGCCGCTGGCGGGCTACGAGATGCAGCGTTTCGTCGTGCATTGCATTTTTAATTGAAGACATCAATTAATTGCAGGAGAAATGAGAATTGCTGACACGTTTCTTCGTTGCCTATCACCAGCTTGACTGACTGCTGCCCTGCAGCCACAACTGCGGCATAGTGCCAGCTTCGTGGCAAAAGGCTTTCGGATTTCTCGATTGGAAATTCTTGCCTTTCCTTTCATTTTTGTTCGTATGTATATACATGTATTTATTCACAATAAGTTTGTACTGCTTCCATCTGAAGCTTCTCTTTTCTTGCATTTATTTCAATTCACTACTTCACTTATGTACGCCTTTGTATCAGCGTTGCTGTGCTGGTGCCTGCTGCTGCGGATGGGCAGCCGTTAAAACTAATGCTGATTGCCACGTTTTTATTTGCAGTACTACATACAGCAGAATAATCAGAATAATCGCTTAGTTGCAGTACAAATTACTAACAACGCTTGGCGATCCGTTGCAATGAGGCGCGACTTTACAACTCACTAATGTGTGAAAAATTCTGACCATTAGGTGGATATTTTCATGGTGCATACTCCAGATTACGTGCATGACGGCACTCCACATGCCAACATACATACATATATACATATGTGCAACACTTGTTTCAGAACATCCGATTGCACCACAAAAAAATTAAATAGAAGGGGAAAAGCTGTAATGGTTCGGTGCCTTCGGTAGCTCAGTGAATAAAAAAAAACGATTTGTTTTGTTCTAGCCAAAGTGTTGGGCAGCACCATTAAGCCAGTTTAGAGGTGCTAATGTGCTCTAATGAACTAACTACTCGCACCATTATTAATGTACTAAAAACTATAGCAATAAAACTTGAAGGTCACTAACTTTTAAAGTGGAGAAGGGCATGTAAGTACATACATATGTGATAGTGCTCGGATAGCTAAGATGTATTTTGCTGTTTTGATTTTATTTCCAATGAGTTGTAATTCTGATAAAGAGTATCTTTATGAAACACATCCAAGTTGTAGTTATCTCATTTTCTACCATCATATCCGGTTCTAAAATTAAAAATGAATCTACTAAAATCAAGTTGGAGTTGAGAATAGATCACATGCCGCGAAAGCTCCCACAGAGATCTTAAGAACCCTTGATTGTAAATTTTTCGCCATATTGAGTCCGCCATTTTTAAGTTTTCCAACCTGACCTCAGATTTGTAATAAGCGGCCCCAAGAGCCCCAGAGGAAAACGTTTCAAACGGACCGAATCGATTTTAGTTTTTTGGCCGCCATATTGGATTCGCCATTATGAATTTTTAAAATCATGCTCTAGGTTCGAAATCGGCAAACTCAAAAACAAAAGAAAGGCCACACTGTTTTCAATAGGAGACGTCTATGTGATAATTTTAAGACCTTAATCTTTGTAATCCGTCCTATAGAATTTTGGCCAACGTACTGTACTGCTTGACGTGATGTGGAATTGAGTTTTACGCCGCTTTTACGTCCCTTTTACAAAAAAAAAATTTTCGTAAATATTTTTCAAAAAGGGCGAAAACCGTGACAGTTTTTGCTAATTATTTACAATAAAAAATGTTTTTTTTTCAACCTTCTATAAGAAACATGTCGGAAATTAAATTCTCTACAAATTTGATTGAACCGTTTTTTACGAAAAATTAAAAATAAGCTTGCATATCGCACAAAAAATCCAAAAAACCTAAAATCCAAGATGGCGGAATGTTGCCATCTGGAATCTGCAAGACTGTGGATCCATGATCTACATGTCAAATAGAAGTAAACTGCATCAAACATTCGCTACTACAATTTTTTCTTAGAAAAATTCTAATTTTACTCAGCTAGAATGGTGGCATTTTATTTTATATCTAAAGGCATTGGCCCAATGCACGCTTGCTTTGCTTGCTTCGCTTTGAGAACTGTCAAACATTTTTTGTACTCTACTAAAATGTATGAAAGTTGGCCAAATGGCAGCTTTACTTCACTTGCTTTAAGCGCCTTAAAGTTTGAAATAGGCAAATGCTTTATTTGAAAGCGTTTTGTAGGCTTTTGACAAAAAGGTATGTTCCCATTTTAAATAAATTCAAATAAACTGCTGCACGTATTTATGACCAAAAATTTGTTTGCGCAATTAAAAAAACAATATATAATATAAGTACATATTTAATTCAAAGTTTGACAAAAATTATTCTGTGTTTAAATATTTATGTTTAATATATCGCTGGCTGAAAAGTTGCTAAGTCCATTTTTACAAATTTTAGAGGAACCTTGAATACAAGATTTTGCGTGTTTAAAGCAAAGCAAAGCTCCATACGAATCAGAATGATTGGATCTTTATTAAAAGATTTCGTATTATTTTGGCCTTATCGGATTTCTGGACCCTCTTTTGGATAAAATTTCCCTCTCATTGAGTATAAACGAGAAAATATAAAAGAAATACCTTAATCCTTAATTTCTCTTGCTTTCTATATCAAAATATGAAGATTCACAAAATGTGGGCTTAGCAGTTTTTTACACAAAGCTAGCGATATTTATGATGGCAAACTACTGGTCAGTAGTCTTTTGAAAAATTGAATATGCAAAAATTAATTCGCCATAATATAAAAATAAATTTGAAAAGGTTGTTTTGTATTTATTTTTTTTTTTTTTGTTAATTTTCTGTCATTTTGTGGGAAAATTATTTTTAGTGTAAGGGAACAGACCTTGACTTTTTAACTAAACAACTGGTAGCTTTGACAGCGTTCCAAGCCTCCATTTGGCCAAAGGAATTTTGAAGTAAATCAAAGCAAATTAAAGTAAGTAAGGCGTGCAAAGCAAGCCTGCATTGGGCCAGCGCCTTAAGAAAATGCGATACCAAAAAATAATTGCCAAAAATTAAAGATAATTTGTAGCCATTTCTAACTTACACTATAAAAAGTGCTAAATTTTGATGTAGCTGGTTATATCTTTATAAAGAAAGTATTTAAATTAGTCAGGTGACCTTATCAATATGTCAGGCACTATATTTTTTATTTGTTGTTTTAAGTTTTTATTACGTATTTTCTTTGCTACGCAGCATTATTGTTATTCCAACGATTACATGCACTAAACATAGTCATATTCTACGCAACAATTATCAAAAGGACATTCGCTGTTGGCAAATAGCAAAAGGTACCATTATAATAATTCACTTCCTCTTGAACTTTGGCTGCTAGGCCTCATACAAGCACTCGCCGAGCCTTCCTATACCACACCCACTTTGCATTTAGGTTGAAGGTAATTAGAATACGAAAATTATTCAACGACTAGCTCATCACATTGTCTGATATAGTTAAGGCACACCCTGACTCTCCCATCAAGCAAACTACTACGCTAGAATTATAGCACATACTATGAAGGACTGCGCATAACTAAATATGTGGCCATGTACATACTGCTATGCCGTCCCACTTATCGACTTTCTGTTTAGCTACATATGTATCATGTTTGTATGCATGTACACCAATGCACTATGGGTAATTCAAGCCATTTTTGTGGTCAGAACTAATTACGAATAAATATTTTTTATATTTTTTTTATTGACATACGATTTCCCCCATTTTTGCAAAAAACCCTTAACCCTTGACAAGCGATATGTCAAAAAGGGTAACTTTTTATTTGTGGTCCTATTGAAAAAGTTTAAATGCAGTTTTTTTCACCAAATATTTATACTAAAGAAAAAAAATTCAACTTAGTTACAAAAACAATTCATACGGTAGCTAATTTAAAAGAATATTGTAAAATTATATTAATTTCAATTGAAAACCTGAAAGCTCTAAATTTCCTACTTTTTCTGCTGAGAAGTTAAAACGAGCAGCCTTTGCAACAACAAAATTGTAAACCGCCTTTTTTGCTCTCTTAAATGAGTTCTCCTCTCCAAGTTGTAAATAATTCACTACTGAAATTATAAGGAATACATAAGAAATACCATTTTCTTTAAAAACGCGCAAATAATCGCAACAAGAAATTGACACATAAACTCAAAACTTTTCATTTTACACGTTTTTGATAGTCGAAACCCGGCCAAGTACGGTCAATACTTTAATAGATTAATCACGTATCACTTAAAAAAGAAACACAAAATGCAA